TTTTTACTTACCTCTGACGAGTTGAGCAAGATCCCACCAGGTACCGTTTTCCAGTCAATGGCTAGGATTTCATGACAGCAGCTATCCGTGAGGCGTCATATCTGAAGACTTAAGGATCTAAATTAAATACATGTCAAGAACAAGAAATTTAGCTTTCGACAACTGAAAATCTATTACATATTTCGCTCGTCTAAGTAGGCCTGGGTCTCACTCCCACTAACACTTCGCAAATCAAGCTGCCATCATGCAACAGAAGTCCATAAAAGATAAGATGCTTTTAACATACAACACATTTGTAGATCGAAGACGCACCTTCAGCTACAAGGAAACTGTATTTTAAGGGCACCCAACGACGGGGTTTCCTTCTGAATACATTGAAAACACTCTTTAGGCTATCCTGTTTTCCAGAAATCCATTCCGTAAGCGGCGCAATAGAATTTACATCTCTTGGGTCATCCTAGCCGGGGGAATCGTCGAGTCTTTTCGAAATTACAAGGGCTTCTCTATTATTTTCCCGAAAATTTTAGATGCAATTTATGTGTTACAAAATTGAGATTTTTTATGATTCCTCTCTCTATTACATTTTTGAATCCGAAAATTTTAGATTTCGTTTTGTCTTTATACGAAAAAAAAGCCTGATCTAGGGAGTGAAATGTGAGAAATTAAAATTCAGAAAATCGTAGTGAATTTATTAGAGAAGCTTCGAAAATATACATGAACGGAACGGTTATCTAGAAATTCTTGGCCGTCCTTAAGTAATAGAAAATTATAAGCAATATTTTCTTCTCCGAACTGCTGTTTTACAGAAACAGTCGTTGAGTGCCCCTGTGTATGTACTTGGATGAAGCACGCTTGCCGTCGTCGTGAACAGTTAAACAAAACCCACTGTGACAGATATTTATCCCAAAAGAACTTCCTTTGCGAAATTTTTAGAAAGGGCTTTGGAGGTTCACAACCTGAGCGGAGGCGATGTTTTCTTTATTACAAATTTATCTTTCCTTGTATTTTTTGAACGTTTTCGTATTTTTCTCAGTACTAACCTATGATCTGCCAGGCTTGTTCGTTCAAATCACTATTGAAGAGACTTTCAGATTTCTTCTACTCTCAGACATCAGCGACTTTCTGACCTAAATGAAAGGTTTCAGAAGAACAAGGATTTAGAAAGCAAGCAATAGTTTGCCCTTGTTATTACAACTAAATGCTGGTATTGATCCGTTTTAATCCTTGGATGTGTGTTCTTCCTTGTAGTTTTGGTCTAGACAGTATCTTAAGCTCTGTTTTGGAAGTGACTCTTCGATTTGTATAATTCCATTTAAGACACGAGGGTCATTTTCGTTGAGCTCAATTGGATGATTACTGGAATTAAAGTCATGGCTTGAAAGACTTTTCAGTTATTTTAGGATATTTTGGGAGAACATTTTCTTCCTTTCGGTACATACCTTGAATCTTGTAGGTAGGGTCAAGTAATCAACCACTACGTCACTGGGCCGGTTACAAGAGCGTTTTCACATGACGTCACGGCGGCCATATTGGTGTTCCAAGACAACGAAAGGGCTGCCATGTTGGTGTTCCAAAGCAGTCCTCTGGGAGTTGGCTTCTTTTCTTATGCAAACGAATTCTTTTGTAAATTTGCAGGGATGCTGGTCACATGAGTCAAAACACTGTATATGAAACGACTGGGAGCTGAGACAACTTCCGGAATGGTCCAGACCTAAATAAAAAGTTTCTAAAAGCAGATTATCAAAGCAAACGTTGCACCATGACAGTTCTTTCAGAGGCTCTGGCGTTTGAATCTACTCATAAAAATATATTCATATCAATTTGCTTACTAATGAAGCAATGTTCACGGGTTGGGATATGAACATTGCTTCATTAGTAAGCAAAGTTACGAGTTTGGTGCAGTAAGGGCACAATTGACCGTAAAGCTCTTTACTTTCCACATTTTGGTACTTACAGGTTATAGGTCACTGCTGATAAGAGTTGAGTTCAGAACTGCCATAACACGGCCGGACGTCTCTGTCGATCTCTGACCTAAATGAAATACTTGCTGAAAACAGAGTAAGTGATATCAAAACAACGGCTGGGTGAGCAGTTAGAGAACCATTACAGAATCCACTGCTGACACCCAATTCATTTCTTTAAGTTATCACCAAACAGATTCAATGGATCGTTTGAGATTCTACTTTGAAAATTTTACTCTTTGGTGGACTAGGAGCACATGGCCAGTAACCAAGACAAAGATCATGGTTCGAATCCAACTAAAGCCTGAATGAATCAGTTTTAATACCTGAGAATCGGTGCATGTATCAGCACAATCAGCGTAGTGTTCTCATGGTTCGTTTCATTTTTCATTACCTCTTAGGAGCTGGAAAACGCTAAACATTTATTGAACCAATGTAAAAGAATTGAAAGCTACGATTCCCACCCTATCACTCAGCAGATAGTCGCAATAATTTTCTTACTCATTTATTTTATTTTTTCATTTTTGCAGACAATTCGCGCAAATTCAGATACAGTCAAAACGTTTCCATGGAACCTCTCAAAATCTTCATGCATTAGAATGTTATTGCTGTTTATGTTACATATTAAGCTATTAAGTCAGCGTTTGTGGCATTAATTAAGAAGAATTCAGAGGTTCCAAGTAACGCTCTAATTTTCGCAGCCGAATTATATAAACACAATTTACAAAACTGCATGCAAAAAATGTCTTCCATTCTTGTAAAATAACTTTCGACCTCTACATAATGGCTCCCTTATTTGCTTTATATTCGGCCACGTTCTTCTGGCACGAAATAGACTGCGAGCAGTCTCTTTTCTTCTTTAGATTTAACGATGAGAGTGCACGCGTGCATGAGCTTCACGAGGTTCCTGCCTCACCCATCTCGCACCTTCATCCACGCGCGTGGTCATAGGAATGGCCGGTTCACAAAGTTTAAACACGAGCTGCGGGAGAAAAAGTCTGTTTCAACATGGGCCTTATTTGAATATTTAAGTCTACTTAAGTCTCAAGTTGATATTTGTTTGGTTTCTCGAGCTACACAAAGGATAACTGGGTAGTATACATCCACACTCCTTCTCCAACATGATATATAGACACCCAATAGCACCTTTTTTGTGGAAGCTGTTTGGACGAAAACAGAAGATACAATTTATTGCTTAATTATTAAATAAGGATCTCACAGGAATTGTTTTGCTATTGCTTCAGAATGTTTTGGTCGTGCATTTGAGAACTTAGTATGATAGCCTTAATTTAATCATTAAGGCAACTGCAATCAATGCTTACTCAAAATTCAATTCTTTTTATTTTTTCAATTAAACTACATGTAAGCACAATTCATTTGACGGAATTTTGAATCCCAAGGTATCTTGAAAAGATAAGAATCGCGTTTTCTGATATTCCTTTGCTTCAAAATAAGTAAAGCAGAGGAAGCTGACGACTGTGCAGAATCAATATTTCTAGTTCAACTGAACACACTTGTATCAAAGCTTAGTCTTCCCTTACTCCTCTCGTTGCAATGTTCAGGCCCTTGCGTTAACCCTATGAAGCGGACTCGTTCCCGGTCGTTTCGTGTCTCTCTCGACTATTAAGCTATTGAAGAAGCTTTTGAATTAGTTGTCTGATTCTTACCAGGTAAAGACGCCATGGCCATTAAATGAGCTTTGGGTTTCCATTATTATCATCATCATTATTATCGTCATCATTGTTGTCATCATCATCGTCAGCATCAACGTCGTTATCATCATCGTCGTCGACATCGTCGTCGTCGTCATCATCATCATCATCATCATCCATGCAACAGTCGTCAGACCTTTTCACATAACGGTGCTTCATCAGGCTGCCCAGCTTATTAACGTTTACTGCACCTGAATCTCTCAAGATGTCAAGACCATACGTTTAACTGAACTTATCGTCAAAGCTTAGTTTTTTTTTTCTCACTCCTTCGTTGGGTCAATTCGTTAAACAAAAACTGACAAAATAATAACAAAACAGCAAAGACAATAACGACAAGACGTTTCCAGATATTTCGGATAATCAAACCCTCCTTATAAAGCATGAAAGCGGCGTATTTGGAAATTTGATATTGACAATAATCTAAACTGGCTGAAAATAATATTGGTCAGTAGGGATAAAGCGTAAAAACAATGACTTACGCACAAAAGAATAAAGACAAAAAAGGCGAATAAATGAAAAGAAAGAAACAGAAAGGAACTTAAAAAGAATATTTTTAAATTAAATGTAACATATAACCATGACAATAATGAGTATAATGATAGAAATAGAAAAGGAAAAACGTCTAAAGAGACTTAATTTTAAAAATCAAAAATACTTTTAGCTGGATTTCTGCAACGTGACTGCTTTCATTACTATTCTTGTAGTTACGTTTTCAAAAACCAATCAAGTATTTTTCGTTGCTGTTCATTGCTATTATTATTATCCTTATCGGGATCATGATTATCCTTATTATTATCAATAATTTATTATACAATTTATTTGACTTTATATTTAATTTTATTATTATATTACATTTATTGTGTATTATTTAATTTTACTAGTTTTCTATCTATCTTTTGTTGCTTTTATTTATTTCTTATTTTTAGTTCATTTTTGTTTCATTTTTCTTCATTTATTTACTTTTTTGCCATTTTTTTCTTTTGTGCTTCAAATGAGTCCATCAAGTGCTTCATTTGTATGCTATTATTTTCAGCTTTATCCCTACTGGCCTTTAGTAAACCCTCCTAGAGGAACGCCAAGACCATCCGAACTATTGGGAAAACTCTAGTCCCTTTTGCCTTTGCTGTTCTGTTATTACAAGCCTTTAACTATTTCTACCCACCCTCCCACCCCTGTTATCTTAAGGGCAATCCATTCCCGAAGCCATCTACGTACCCAGGGCTCTGTCTTATTACTCATCTTCCAAGAGAACCCTGGGAACAAGGTTGCCCGGGGTTCTGAGACACACGTATTGCTAGGTAAAGTTTCCATGCACGTTTCACCTGCTGAAGGAGGTTACCACCGTTATCCTTTGCCGCTGACATCATCATGCCTTTATCGTCGTTATCATCACCAAGCAACATGATCAATACAACGGGTTGTCACGTGAACGTGAGGAGCTAAGGCCGCAAGCAAATTTAGCGATGGTTCTGACCAAATAAAGGTGGAGCTACCGCACCCCACCCCCACCCCCCTTTCGTCTGATTTTGGCAGTTTTAACATATGCTCATTTAGTCCATTTAATTAGATACAAAACGTTTATTAGGAATTTTCCGCTACCAGCCTCGATCCGATCCCAGACCTGAGCCTTTTTAAAATTAAATGGGCTTCAGTGTTATTTTCAGAAAAATTTAGATGCAATTTAATTAGTATGAAACTAAGACTTTTTGCGATTCCTCCCTCTATCAAATGTTACGTCTTTTTTCGTCTACGAAAAATAGCCTGATCTCAAGAGTGATTTGTTAAACATTAATACTTCAGAAAATCACACAAAATTTGGTTTTTAAGATATGGTTCGAAGATTGTACATAAATAGAACGGTCATCTAGAAATTCTTAGCCGTCCATAGGTAAAAGAAAATTATAGGCAATATTCGCTTCTCCGAACAGTTACTTTACGGAAAAAAGGTCGTTGGGTGCCCCTGTGAACTTGGATGAATTATGCCTGCTACCGTCGTGAACAGTTAAACAAAGACCACAAATTTTATTGTCAAAGAGCCTCCTTCTGTGCAATTTTTAAAAAGGGTCCTGTAGGTCCACAACTTAAACGAAGACTATGTTTCTTTTATTATTATTACCAATTTATCTGAACGTGTTCGTTTTTTTTCTGTACTGACCTATGATCTCCAAGGCGGGTTTGGTCAAATCACTATTGAAGAAACTTCTGGATTGCCTCTGCTCTCTGACACCAGGGGTATTCTGACCTAAATATAAGGCTTCTGAAGAACAAGATTTAGAAAACAAGTAATAGTTTGCCCTTGGTTATTACAACAAAATGCTGATATTGATCCGCCTTAATCCTAGGATATTTGTTCCTCCTTGTAGTTTTGCTCTAGACAGAGTATCGTAAACTCTGTTTTAGACATGACCCTTAAATTTGTATCAGTCCATTAAAACACAGTCACTTTGTACAGATCAACTGGATGGTTACTGGAATAAGTCAGGGCTTGAAAAAATCATCAAAGACTTTAAGAACGTTTTAGAACATTTTGGGTGATCATTTTCTTTCTTTTTGGTACATACCTTGAATCTTGTAGGTAGGGTCATGTAATCAACCGCTTCGTCACTGGGCTGGTTGTAACGACTGGGAGTGGAGACAACTTCTGGAATCGCCTAGACCTAAATAAAGAGTTTCTAAAAGCAGATTATCAAAGCAAACGTTGCACCATGATAGTTCTCTCAGAGGCTCTGGCGTTTGAATCTCGTAAAAATATTTCATATCAATTTGCTTACTAATGAAGCAATGTTCATGGGTTGGAATCCCACTGGAACAGAAGCCAGTTTATCTATAAAGTTACGAGTTTGGTGAAGTAAGAGCACAGTTGACCGTAAAACTCTTTCCTTGAACGAAAATACCCACTCTTTCGGTTAAAATGTTTATCCTCTAGAAAGCGAAGACTTTTCCGTATTCTGGTACTTACAGGTTACAGATCACTGCTGATAAGAGTACAGAACTGCCATATCAACAAGGCTGGACTTCTCTGAACCTAAATGAAATACATCTTAAAAACAAAGTAAGTAATATCAAAACACTAGCCTTGAACTGGTTTAAAGTCCATTTCCTTTTAAAGGCCTTGAAATGGACTGCTGGCATTAAATTCTTTTCTTTCAGTTGCCATCAATCAGATTCAGAGGATTTTTCGAGATCCTACACCTTGAAAATTGCACTCTTTACCCTTTGTTAGAGTGGGAGCACCACAACCAAACAAAGATCGTGGGTTTGAATCCCACTAAAGCCTGAATGAATCAGTTTTAATACCTGAGAAGAGGTTCATGTATCAGCAATCAGCGTAGTGTTCTCAGGTTCGTTTCATTCCTCCTTACCTCTTGGGCTCTGGTAATAGCTAATCGACTTCACACACTAAATCTGGAACACAAGAAGATAATCTAACAGTTAAAACACTTTAAAGAAAGAAACAAATATCTCCCTTACCTTTAGAACTTGTAGTCGATTTTCAGTCGTAGTCAGTGTCGCTTTGCGTTTCTTCAGGAACGCATTCCAACCAATCAATCCAAAACGAGCTTCAATTTCGCGGCGTGCTCGGTCTTGAGAGGGCGTGCCCTGACAGACGTCTTCGAGGCGGCGATGTTCGAGGAAAAAATGTTTTAAAAGATGATGTCCAAAGTTCCTGAAATAAAACTTGTTAAATCTTATCGCTTTAATAGAAAAATACACTGATGAAGCAGTATTGTGTTTCGTAAATTTTTATTGTTTATTCCTGAAAAGCAACTCCGCTACAACACTATCTTTACATTTAGATTATTTAGTACTGCCTAAAAGGAGAAGAAACAAGCTGATGAATTTCTCTTGTTCGATTAACTTTATTTTTCATCAACTTGTAATTACGTACAACTCAATTACCATAACCTTAATATAATATGTCCTGCTATCAGCATTTCACTTCTGACTTCCAAGACTGTCGCGCGGTGCGTTTCTTCAAGAACGCCTTTAAAAGGTAGTGCAAATGTAGGAAAAAGCCATGTGTGATCTCTTGAGGGCACGCCCAAGAAAGATGTATCCATTAACCCTCTAGAAAAAAGTTGAGGTAGAGTAAAAAGGTTTCTCTTCCTTCCAAGAGAAATTTAACTTTCGACTTCCAAAACTTTCGAGCCGTGCGTTTCTTCAAGAACGCATCCAAAAAGTGGTGCAAATGTGGAAAAAAGCCACATTCGATCTCTAGAGGACACGACCAAGAGCTGTTTCCATTAACCGTCGAGAAAAAAGTGGAGGTAGAGTAAAAAAGGTGTATGCTTTGCAATCAGCATTTCACTTCCGACTGCCAAAACTGTTGCGACGTGCGTTTCTTCAAGAACGCATCCAAAAAGTAGTGCAAATGTGGAAAAAAGCCACATGCGATTCTCGAGAGAGCAGACCCAAGAAAGATGTTGCGTCAGAAACGGAAAATATATGATTGTCGACGTATTAGTACCTGAAATAAAAAGGTTAGTTATTTGTGCGCGCACACTTGCGTTAAAAGATCACACTCACAACTCAGTGTTTTTGTTGTTGCTGTTTTATTTTTATTGGCGTTATTACAACAAGTAGTTTGTAAGATACCTGAAAATCAAATCATCATTAGTACTTATAACTAATTACTCTATAAATTAAGGTTAAATTTAAAAGAAATCACACAGACAACATATTAATTAATTAAGTCTTTTTATTGAATTCAGTTCGCCGATTACAAAAATTAAGTAATCTATGTGCGAAGGGTGCGCTCCTACAAGAATTTAGCGTCTGAGTGAGACTGAGGTGTGTGACATGTGTCCATAAACCTTGACACCTCGAATGAAACACACCAGGGTCTTCCAGACGGTACGCAGGGATAATTGGCGGCTTGCTATCGAAACATCTTCGATACCAAGCCTTCACATTTTTCGAAGCCGAATACGGAATCAGATGGAAAGTCGAATCGAAAACTAGAAAAAACCGAATGGACCGATCCGAAAATCTAACCGCCTAACAAAGAAAAAAAATCCACATACCTTGTGCCACATCGAATTCTTACTTGGGCTGATTGATATGGCGCAAGGTTTGTATTAGCAACGAACCTTCTTACAAAAACAATGTTACTGTGGACCGTGAATTCAATTTGCCTTACGCTATTCGAGACCAAGCGCAAACTTTGTACCAACATCAATCAACCCTACCTTATATGGGATGCTGTACTCTGTCGTCATGTTCCTCTGCTAAAGGACCAATGATACTGGGACGTCCCACAGTCCAAAAGACCAAGGCGTAGATATGTGTAGTCCATGACGTTGTTGTTGTTGCTGTTTATGTTGTTGTTGCATGATAACTTCGAGTTGTTGCAAAGAAGAAGTCCGGCCGGCCAATTATAATTACACTATTATTGAATATTAATACTGTGTCTCAACCAACATTGGACTATCCGAACGTGGGATTCGAGGTAAGATGAAATTCAGCTTCTGCGCGGAACAATTTCTGGAATTGCTTTCTAGTCTCCAATTGCTTTTTCCAAAAAACATCTGCTTGATTCGTTTCACTTAAAATTTTTCAAATTCGTTCCCACATGGGGTTATAATGGGGGATAATATAAGGACTTAATTGTGGAAATCTCAACGTTAGCTAAGACAGCTCTTTAAAGGTATTTCTATATGCTGTCTTCTCTGGCAATACCTTGCCTTCCTAATCATGAATTCGTTTACACCATGATGTCATCGGCTTCTGTTTGCATAGAAGCAGAATGACGTCTTAGTGTAAACGATCATGAACACCATTGTCGCAATCATCACCATCGTCATTATCATCATCATCATCGTTATTGTCGGTTTGGTTTCCGTGATTTCTCCTCTCCGTTCATTGCTGCAAAGGAAACTAACTCGTCTACTTAAGTAAATTGACTACTGGACTATCTTTCTATGGCTCTCCAAGTTCTTTGTTCTTCTTTCTTCGGCCGGCTTCTTCCTTTGATTTAGCAATGGACCCACAGTACAATATGACACAGTTCAAACAAATACATTTTATTCATATTTCCAACATTTTGTTACAAGATTCAGAAGGAAGTTGTAGAAACAGCGTGCTGCAGGATTCAGTCCCAGTCATGACGTACTTTACGAGCTGTCGGAGGAAGAACGCTGTTGATGACTCTCGGAGAAAAAAGAACCAAGAAACCAATAACCACGAACGGTCGACGTGAAGACTACGTACGCCTACCATTTGTAGACGATCTGGGCCTGCATAGTGCAATGCAGGACTTCCTAAGAAGAAAACTCTCCAGCGAGGCAACATTAACAGGAAGACAAATCAAATCGTCTTAGTGTCAACGATGCCACAACCAGAGTATCCTCTCCTGCTACTTACTGAAAGACTATCTATAACCAGCGACGTTTTCACATGAATGCCATTCAGGGACACGCATATCAAGGTATGGTGGGCCTCCACATGTGTGTCCCCGAAATATTCGGCCCAGTAGCATTCTCGTGATCCCTTCGCAGGCTAATAACTCTTCTAAAAGCATATCCGCGGTTTGCTCTTGGTCCTCCAACGATGAAACTGCTTCGTAGTTTGGTCTCGAAGACTTCCTACGCTTACGATTTGTAAACGACCTAGCCTATGGTGTGTGAGTTGTCCCATGTTACCCTGGTAACCTACAACAAGGTGTTGGCTCCTAGCAGGAAGAATCGCCTGGTCGCAGATTACCTTTAGTGTAAGACTAAAACAGTTAACTAATCTACCATCACAAGTTCGAAGTCTGCAAATGCGCATCAAAAAATTTCACTTCACACTTTTACTGTTTGACATCAAAAGCCAAATTGGTAGGAGCAGACACGAGTTTGAGATGCTAAACTAACTATCTACCTGTAACCAGAGAGACCACTAAGCTTGTAAGCAGTGACCAAATGAGGTCCTCTCACAGTAGCTGAATGATCTGAAGTCTCTAGTTTACTAATTTATGTCTTAGAACAATCACAGTCTGGTTGAACCTTGCGAATGAAAGCTTCACTTGCCCAGCGCATAGACTGTCAAGTGAAGCGTGATAGGTCAATACAATTGGCGCAACTACCGCGGGAGTTGTAGTGAAGACGAAGACGACGACGACGACAAAAACAACGGTGTCGGTGGCGAAGTCCATCTGAAAAAAGCGCAAAAAGATGCAACCGAACCGTTTCGAAGATGCGAAACCGAATCCAAAAAGCCGAACCTATCCTTAAAAGCCGAACTCCTGTCGCTGACCGAACACCTGCAAAGGAACCCAACCTATGAAAAAGGGAAGGGGAGGCCCTTACCAGCCCGGGGAGCCCCGCTAACTAAGCTAACTACAGTTAAGTTAAGCCGAAAAAAGAATTCCGGAGTCTTCAGGCCGAAAGTGTGTGGAAAGTATGCTTTGCAAGGTTCATCCAGAGCTCTATTTACCCCCCTTGACCCAACCCATAAAGAATGCACCTAACCTGTACCATTTCAAGAGGTTGGGTATGCTGTGCTGATTGGATGCTGAGTAGTCAAGTATGGTGGTGATGTGATTTGGTGGTCTGGTGTAGCAGTGGTGGTCTGATCTGAGGAACTGATTTGGTAGTCGGGTCTGATCATGGTCTGTTGCTGTCTATAAACCTTGACACCTCGAATGAAACACACCAGGGTCTTCCAGACGGTACGCAGGGATAATTGGCGGCTTGCTATCGAAACATCTTCGATACCAAGCCTTCACATTTTTCGAAGCCGAATACGGAATCAGATCGAAAGTCGAATCGAAAACTAGGAAAAACCGAATGGATCGATCCGAAAATCTAACCGCCTAACAAAGAAAAAAAATCCACATACCTTGTGCCACATCGAATTCTTACTTGGGCTGATTGATGTGGCGCAAGGTTTGTATTAGCAACGAACCTTCTTACAAAAACAATGTTACTGTGGACCGTGAATTCAATTTGCCTTACGCTATTCGAGACCAAGCGCAAACTTTGTACCAACATCAATCAACCCTACCTTATATGGGATGCTGTACTCTGTCGTCATGTTCCTCTGCTAAAGGACCAATGATACTGGGACGTCCCACAGTCCAAAAGACCAAGGCGTAGATATGTGTAGTCCATGACGTTGTTGTTGTTGCTGTTTATGTTGTTGTTGCATGATAACTTCGAGTTGTTGCAAAGAAGAAGTCCGGCCGGCCAATTATAATTACACTATTATTGAATATTAATACTGTGTCTCAACCAACATTGGACTATCCGAACGTGGGATTCGAGGTAAGATGAAATTCAGCTTCTGCGCGGAACAATTTCTGGAATTGCTTTCTAGTCTCCAATTGCTTTTTCCAAAAAACATCTGCTTGATTCGTTTCACTTAAAATTTTTCAAATTCGTTCCCACATGGGGTTATAATGGGGGATAATATAAGGACTTAATTGTGGAAATCTCAACGTTAGCTAAGACAGCTCTTTAAAGGTATTTCTATATGCTGTCTTCTCTGGCAATACCTTGCCTTCCTAATCATGAATTCGTTTACACCATGATGTCATCGGCTTCTGTTTGCATAGAAGCAGAATGACGTCTTAGTGTAAACGATCATGAACACCATTGTCGCAATCATCACCATCGTCATCATCATCATCATCATCGTTATTGTCGGTTTGGTTTCCGTGATTTCTCCTCTCCGTTCATTGCTGCAAAGGAAGTTTACTAACTCGTCTACTTAAGTAAATTGACTACTGGACTATCTTTCTATGGCTCTCCAAGTTCTTTGTTCTTCTTTCTTCGGCCGGCTTCTTCCTTTGATTTAGTAATGGACCCACACTACAATATGACACAGTTCAAACAAATACATTTTATTCATATTTCCAACATTTTGTTACAAGATTCAGAAGGAAGTTGTAGAAACAGCGTGCTGCAGGATTCAGTCCCAGTCATGACGTACTTTACGAGCTGTCGGAGGAAGAACGCTGTTGATGACTCTCGGAGAAAAAAGAACGAAGAAACCAATAACCACGAACGGTCGACGTGAAGACTACGTACGCCTACCATTTGTAGACGATCTGGGCCTGCATAGTGCAATGCAGGACTTCCTATGAAGAAAACTCTCCAGCGAGGCAACATTAACAGGAAGACAAATCAAATCGTCTTAGTGTCAACGATGCCACAACCAGAGTATCCTCTCCTGCTACTTACTGAAAGACTATCTATAACCAGCGAGGTTTTCACATTAATGCCATTCAGGGACACGCATATCAAGGTATGGTTGGCCTCCACATGTGTGTCCCCGAAATATTCGGCCCAGTAGCATTCTCGTGATCCCTTCGCAGGCTAATAACTCTTCTAAAAGCATATCCGCGGTTTGCTCTTGGTTCTCCAACGATGAAACTGCTTCGTAGTTTGGTCTCGAAGACTTCCTACGCTTACGATTTGTAAACGATCTAGCCTATGGTGTGTGAGTTGTCCCATGTTACCCTGGAAACCTACAACAAGGTGTTGGCTCCTCGCAGGAAGAATCGCCTGGTTGCAGATTACCTTTAGTGTAAGACTAAACCTGTTAACTAATCTACCATCACAAGTTCGAAGTCTGCAAATGCGCATCAAAAAATTTCACTTTACACTTGTACTGTTTGACATCAAAAGCCAAATTGGTAGGAGCAGACACGAGTTTGGGATGCTAAACTAACTATGTACCTGTAACCAGAGAGACCACTAAGCTTGTAAGCAGTGACCAAATGAGGTCCTCTCACAGTAGCTGAATGATCTGAAGTCTCTAGTTTACTAATTTATGTCTTAGAACAATCACAGTCTGGTTGAACCTTGCGAATGAAAGCTTCACTTGCCCAGCGCATAGACTGTCAAGTGAAGCGTGATAGGTCAATACAATTGGCGCAACTACCGCGGGAGTTGTAGTGAAGACGAAGACGACGACGACGACAAAAACAACGGTGTCGGTGGCGAAGTCCATCTGAAAAAAGCGCAAAAAGATGCAACCGAACCGTTTCGAAGATGCGAAACCGAATCCAAAAAGCCGAACCTATCCTTAAAAGCCGAACTCCTGTCGCTGACCGAACACCTGCAAAGGAACCCAACCTATGAAAAAGGGAAGGGGAGGCCCTTACCAGCCCGGGGAGCCCCGCTAACTAAGCTAACTACAGTTAAGTTAAGCCGAAAAAAGAATTCCGGAGTCTTCAGGCCGAAAGTGTGTGGAAAGTATGCTTTGCAAGGTTCATCCAGAGCTCTATTTACCCCCCTTGACCCAACCCATAAAGAATGCACCTAACCTGTACCATTTCAAGAGGTTGGGTATGCTGTGCTGATTGGATGCTGAGTAGTCAAGTATGGTGGTGATGTGATTTGGTGGTCTGGTGTAGCAGTGGTGGTCTGATCTGAGGAACTGATTTGGTAGTCGGGTCTGATCATGGTCTGTTGCTGTCTGATCTGGGGTGGGATCTGATAGTCCAGTGTGGTCTGATTTAAAGGTGGTTCTTGGATGGACTCTTTTGGTCGTTTAATCTGGAAGTCAGCCAAAGGAATATGGTCTGGTCTGAGGGCTGCAAATCGAAAACATAACAAGCTGAGGTGATAGTAGCAAAATTCCTCAGTTAAGTGCAAAGAGCTACGAAAAGAGGAAAGGAGAAAAATTAAAATACGGGAAACAGTTAATCTTTCTAATTCAGATGCAACTTTGAAAAGCTCTCTGACGCGAAAAAGGTTTGCAAAAACCCAACCAAACTGACTCAGGTTTTTGGTGAAGATCGTTTCTATTACTAATAAGTATTGTAAATTGCAGAGTTCAACATCCTAGCAATTATACAGGCCCTAACGCAATTTATTTACGCGAGAGGTCGCGCGTGATGTAGTCATATCATATGAGGACTGGCTCTGGTGACAATCTTTGCGAATCTTATCACTGTTTATAGCCATTCCAAACTATATTGAGTGTATGTTTGTATCTCTTATTCCATCAATTAATTTTCTTCATTTCTCTTAAAGTTTGATCGAATGTTTTAAAAATAATGAGCAATCTCATTATAAGGTGATGTTACACGGGGCGATTCCCAACGACGATTTTCACGGCAATACAGCGTTGTAACGTTGGAACAATGTGGTAACTATTCGAAACAATGTCGCAACAATGTTGTAACACTGTGTTGCGCTAGAAATCCTCATTGCCAATCGTCTCATGTATTAAACATCACCTTAACGTATAAGAAAGCCGCATATAATTTTATATATAACCTCAATAAATTTCAGCTTTTCCAACCTAGTGTTTGCGAAAGCGGAAACGAAGCAGCAGTTTGCAAAAAAAATGTTCTAAATTGCCATATTAAAGTTTTGACAACCACGGCCCCTCGCGTGTCCCATCTTCGACAGTTAGTTTAAGTATATGGCACTTCATCATTCTGTTAAACATATCGTCAAGTATATACAGTACCCGCACTGCCTGCCTCGAATAGCTTTAGCTAAATGCAGACAGTGTGTATGTTTAATGTATGTCTTTGCTTTTTAATAAAATGTTCGTTGTTGTTGAATAATAAGAAATTCACGAAAACATCTTTTGCAAACTTCGAGGCTTTCTGCATTAGCTTAAGTGCGGTGTCCTCATTTGTGATATTAAATTCGCTAAGAGATGTTGTGCACCGAGAAACAAATGGATCAAATTTGTCATTTTTGAAAATTTATTTCTTGGTCACCAATATAAATTTGGAAGAAAAGCAAGACATGATTCGCCGGGCTACTTTTATCTGGAATCAGTCTCCACTGAGTTTCATTTGTTTTTCAGTAACAGCCACGTGCATGCACGACCTTGTACGAGCTACGAAGAGCTTTCAAAATCATGTAACTATTATGCTTGAGCGGCTTACATTTCCACTCGCTATTCCCCCGCTGCGAACAAATAATTTAACTTCAAAACGACAACATTCGACAAAGAAGTAACTAAATTTTAAGTTGGACTTGCTAGAATTATAATTTTCAACTGAACTGACGACAACTTCAACAAGTAACTTACCTCGTGCGCTGGTTTTAACATCCCAGGCGGTTTTCATAGTAAGGTTTTTTCTGATGAAGCTGATAAAGACGGATATATCCTGTTAATGGGAGCGTCGTGCGTGTTTCTCTGAGTAACCTTCGCAAGCAGCTTTTTGCAACCGAAACTATCAATTTTTGAATGAAGCGCGGGGCAACGTTTTGATTTGAATACTAATTTCTGATTGGAGGTTTCTCGCTGCACGTGTCTATGTGGTATGAACAAGAGTTGTTTACCTCATACACCTCGGGGCTTTTGGGAATCATTTAAATATAAATTCTTGAAAAGGTTTTGGGCGAGTGAACTATTTATTAATTAAATTTGGTGGGAAAGGAAATTGTAAAGGAAAAACTGACACATTTCCTGTAAACGAAACCTGACTAGCGATTGTTTTACACAAGAAATTGTAAAGCCTGATTTCTCTTTTACTGGATTTTGCGGTTTTAAATAAATGTAGCTCAACGATAAAACTTCACTCAGGGTTTTTTGCATGGAACTCGTACTTTAGTCGGGACTCCTTCGGGAGTCTCAAAATTTGACTTTTCCGACAATTTAGTGTCCACGAAATTCTGTGCAGATACTTCACGAGCTGGCACTGAAAACCCTAAACCTGGCAGACTGTAGTGTGCCATGTTTCGGGCGAAATTCTAAAAGGGCGCTATAAAAAGATCTAAAAGGCGTTAATATATAACAGGGATGATGACGGATTATGCTTATTTCTCTTGACCGATTATTTCCGCGAACTTCGACTCAAAATCACGATTTCCCAATTTAGTACAACTGTGGCTTAAAGCATTGCCATATATAAATCGCGATCTACCAAATAAAACACAACCCCTTCTAAACGTCGATCATTCCTCAATGTCTTTGTAAATATTTATCTAAATCGCCTCTTAAATAGCCGAAGTGTTATATAAGTGTTTCAAAAGATATAGCACAAGCAAAATTTTGCCTCAACTATCAACTTATCAACTTATCCATAGATAGCAAGCGAGGAGCGCTTCTCCCCTCGAGTGTGTCTAGCCCCCCAGGGGCGCACTTGGGTATTTTTTGGGTGGGTATGTGCCGCCCGGGACTCCAAATTGGCACCTCGTTCTAAAAAAAAAAAATTCCCCTAAAACTGATATCCCGTTCTAGAAATGGGCCAATTTTTTATACTCCGTTCTAGGGTGCAACAAGAGTACAACAGTTTGCTTGTTAACGCATTGAACCGTATTTTTAAAAGCAATCTGTCCTTGAATAATTTCAAATGGCTGCTTACAAAACTGGAGCTTTCGCGCGTTCGAAATATTATACCCCGTTCTAGAAAACGCCTCTGAAATGGATACCCCGTTCTAAATCAGGAGCTCCAAAATCACGACCCCGTTGGGCGGTATATACCCGTATAGGTAATGTATGGGAGTACCTCCCCCCCGGGGTCTAGCCCTCCTCGCTCTCATCCCGGGCCTTCGCAGAGGGTCTCAATGGGGTGGTGGCTTTTACGGTTATCGGCTAAAATTTTGGCTTTTTTACGGCTATCGGTTAATTTTTTTCAGTTGCGGTTAACAAAAAAGTTAAAAAATTAACTTCTCTTGTTTCAAAAAGTTAAATATCAATTAACCTGTATTTTTTATATCTTTAAAGCAAAATAAAGGTCTTAGGATCATCTCGGGCTGAAATAAGCTATTCTTTTGAAAAAATTTAACACTTGATGGATCATACTTTTTATAAAGTATTCCACTTCTAATATTATTTTACACAATGAAATTTTTGGCCGATTTCCGCCTATCGGTTAACCACATTGAGACCCTCCTCGCACGCCCGAATAACGCGAAAAATAACGCCTGTTATGCAGGCTACAGGAGTGAAAGAGATTGCGCCGATACAGTCGACTCCCGCTAACTCGAACCTTCAAGGGAAATCGAAAAAAGTTCGAGTTATCGGGAGTTCGAGTTATCGGGAGCTCGAAGAAAATAGCCGAGAGTAAGGTTAAAAACAGTTTTTACTGCACAGTAAACATTTTAATCACATTTAATTGAAGAAATGTCAAGGTAAAATTAAAAGATACTTCTAGATTATATATCCGAACGTATTGTAACAAAACATAGCTTAACAGAGCATGCGTTTTATTGTTTTGAGAAGTAAAGTTGCTTCACGTTAGCTAGCCTGTGTACAGGCTACACTGTTAGCCTGTAACAATCAACATCAGCCTCCACTAGTAGACTACTAGTAAACTATACTCCTACAACACGTCAATAGGAAGTCCAAAAATTCAATGTTACCGACTCCAGTAGACGGTTTTTCCCGACTTTTTAAGGGCTCAAAACATGAGTTATCGAGGGTAAAATATAGAAAATGACCTGAGGGGAAACGAAAATTGGTTCGAGTTAGCGGGAGTTCAAGTTATCGAGGGTTCGAGTTATCGAGGGTAAAATAACAGTGAATGTATGACGGAAATTCAGGGACAAATCGATTTTGGTTCGAGTTAGAGCGAGGTTCGAGTTATCAGGAGTCGACTGTGTATTTATTACCCTGTAATAGGACAAAAGACAAAATGCACGCAAGAGAGATTTTGTTACCTAAACATTTCTTGTCTGAGATTAAATACTACAGTTTAATCTTTATGAGTTTCTCAAGCGAAGAATTCATCACGCATTAGTAGGAAAACTCAAAAACAGATGTTTCTGTTGGTTTCCGGCGACCATATTTGTGCTCATGAAAGGCGCCTCCATACATGGCGCCTCCATACAAAGCTTTATAAAATTGGGTAAAACGCTTTTCGGAATATCTCGCATTAGCCTGCGAGCAAGCTCTCCTGTTTGGGCGAGTGGAGCGAGTCTCGCGAGAACGCCATGCGAGCGGCGCGCGTTCTCGCGAGGCTCACTTCGCTTGCTCAAATAGGAGAGCTTGCTTGCAGGCTAATTTTGCATATGAAGTATTGTACAGACCTGATTCTTGGCAAGGCTTTTTGTATAATTATCTTCTTTCATTTCCCAGATTCTAGACTTTCTGTATTAAAAGGTTTCCATTTTCGTTTTTTATGGCGTGAAAGTGAAAACCACCAATAGTCATTGCTTTAATATGCTTAAAGTAAAATAAAATTCATCTAGAAAATCGTGTAGGCAATACCCTGTTGACAGACTCACACGCAATTATATACCCTAGGACAGACTCACACTGTGGCTCGCTGACCCTACTGAAATGACTGCAATATGGTGGCGAGGATAACTTCACGCTTTTTCTTTCTGGTGGTCACTTTTTGAATAAATTTAATGTCATGGCGGCATAGCCGGTAAATACGCGAATACAGCCTCAGGTAATCCGAGCTGAAATAAGCGTTGGTTCTGCTACGTAAACATGCGGGGTCTTAGTTTGGGACTGAATCAGCTTAGAGTTGATGTTTGTCTAAATAATGAACTAGGATTTGCACAGCCTATGACTTTAGAACCAGCGTTAATAGGTTTCGCATCTATCATTACCGCAAGGGTCAGTGATAGTTTTAACAAATGTTAAGTAAAATTACTTCAGGCTAGTAAATTGTAAATCTACCGCAATAGTACTGCTTGTAGTCATATTTTAGAATGGTAGGGAAACTCAAGGACACTCTCATACACTTTTTTTAAGAATGTTGATTTTTCGGCCCAGGCTGAATATTCTTTATTTTGTCGATATTAGACTGATTATATTCTTGCATGAATTATTCTTCATTAAAAAATTATAGCTTATGGCAAATTCCGCTTTACAATGTATGATTTCAAGTTTAAACATAAAATGTACTGTATTTACAGATTTTCAAATCCTTCTCAAATTCTCAGCCTCGGGTTTATTCCTAAAATATTCTTAAAATTTATTTTGTATTATAAAAAAGAGTTTATACACTCAAGGCGAGTACTTAGATTATATCTTTAAAGCAAAATAAAGGTCTTAGGATCATCTCGGGCTGAAATAAGCTATTCTTTTGAAAAAATTTAACACTTGATGGATCATACTTTTTATAAAGTATTCCACTTCTAATATTATTTTACACATTGAGATTTTTGGCCGTTTTCCGCCTATCGGTTAACCACATTGAGACCTTCCTCGCACGCCCGAATAACGCGAAAAATAACGCCTGTTATGCAGGCTACAGGAGAAAAAGAGACTGCGCCGATACAGTCGACTCCCGATAACTCGAACCTTCAAGGGAAATCGAAAAAAGTTCGAGTTATCGGGAGTTCGAGTTATCGGGAGCTCGAAGAAAATAGCCGAGAGTAAGGTTAAAAACAGTTTTTACTGCACAGTGAACATTTTAATCACATTTAATTGAAGAAATGTCAAGTTTAAATTAAAAGATACTTCTAGATTAAATATCCGAACGTAATGTAACAAAACATAGCCTAAACAGACATGCGTTTTGCTGGTTTGAGAAGTAAAGTTACTTCACGTTAGCTAGCCTGTGTACAGGCTACACTGTTAGCCTGTAACAATCAACATCAGCCTCCACTAGTAAACTATACTCCTACAACACGTCAATAGGAAATCCAAAATTCATTGTTACGGACTCCAGTAGACGGTTTTTCCCGACTTGTCATGAGTTATCGAGGGTAAAATATAGAAAATGACCTGAGGGGAAACGAACATTGGTTTGAGTTAGCGGGAGTTCAAGTTATCGAGGGTTCGAGTTACCGAGGGTAAAATTATAGTGAATGTATGACGGAAATCCAGGAGAAATCGATTTTGGTTCGAGTTAGAGCAGTTAGAGCGAGGTTCGAGTTATCGGGAGTCGACTGTGTGTTTATTACCCTGTAAAAGGACAAAAGACAAAATGCACGCAAGAGAGATTTTGTTATCTAAACATTTCTTGTCTGAGAATAAATACTACTTTACAGATGTTTCTGTTGTTTCCGGCGGCCATATTTGTGCTCCTGAAAGGCGCCTCCATACATGGCGCCTCCATACAAAGCTTTATAAAATTGGGTAAAACGTTTTTCCAAATATCTCGCATTAGCCTGCGAGCAAGCTCTCCTATTTGGGCGAGTGAAGCGAGTCTCGCGAGAACGCGCGAGCGAGCGGCGCGCGTTCTCGCGAGGCTCACTTCGCTTGCTCAAATAGGAGAGCTTGCTCGCAGGCTAATCTCGCATATGAAGTATCGTACAGACCTGATTCTTGGCAAGGCTTTTTGTATAATTATCTTCTTTCATTTCCCAGATTCTAAACTTTTTGTATTAAAAGGTTTCCATTTTCGTTTTTTATGGCGTGACAGTGAAAACCACCAATAGTCATTGCTTTTGAATGCTTAAAGTAAAATAAAATTCATCTACAGAATCGTGTAGGCAATACCCTGTTGACAGACTCACACGCAATTATATACCCTAGGACAGACTCACACTGTGGCTCGCTGACCCTACTGAAACGACTGCAATATGGTAGCGAGGACAACTTCACGCTTTTTCTTTCTGGTGGTCACTTTTTGAATAAATTTAATGTCATGGCGGCATAGCCGGTAAATACGCGAATACAGCCTCAGGTAATCCGAGCTCAAATAAGCGTTGGTTCTGCTGCGCAAACATGGGGGGTCTTAGTTTGGGACTGAATCAGCCTAGCGTTGATGTTTGTCTAAATAATGAACCAGGATTTGCACAGCCTATAGCTGCCTATGACTTTAGAACCAGCGTTAATAGGTTTCGCATCTATCATTACCGCAAGGGTCAGTGATAGTTTTAACAAATGTTGAGTAAAATTACTTCAGGCTAGTAAATTGTAAATCTACAGCAATAGTACTGCTTGTAGTCATATTTTAGAATGGTAGGGAAACGCAAGGATACTCTCATACATTTTTTTTAAGAATGTTGTTTTTTTCGGCCCAGGCTGAATATTCTTATTTATTTTGTCGATTTTAGACGGAATATATTCTTGCATGAATTATTCTTCATTAAAAAGTTATAGCTTATGGCAAATTCCGCTTTACAATGTATGATTTCAAGTTTAAGCATAAAATGTACTGTATTTACAGATTTTCAAATCCTTCTCAAATTCTCAGCCTCGGGTTTATTCCTAAAATATTCTTAAAATTTATTTTGTATTATAAAAAAGAGTTTATACACTCAAGGCGAGTACTTAGAGCATAGCAGTCTAATTCTTAGCAACTGATTGTTGGCTTATTTGAGTTCGTGTAGATTTCTGTCTTAGTTTCAGAGAAACCCTACCATATCATAATGAATTTGGCTACAGGGATACACAAACCATGCACAGTCTTCTAATTAATCTTTTCCTACCTTAGATCATTGACTAATTAAGCAGAACCATGCTGAATAACATACGCTTACAAGCAAAGCACAAATTACAAGGATAACGAACGCGTCGCGTTTCCGCTGCTGCAGTCTGGCTGTTAACCGATGCTTTGAGTCGGATAACGCCACATTTTCCCTTGGAAATTTCAGGGCGGGAACATTGCACCCAAGAAAGGTGCACAGAGGCTTCCAGCCTTGATTTACGTTGTAAATCAACAGTTTATCCTTTGGGATGACCGCTTGAACTCGCTCGTTATGTTCGCGGTATTTCTTCTTGAAAAGGACAGTACACTTTGAATTTAGGCTTCCAAAAGCTGCTGTTAACATAGCGGTATCAAGGAGATGTAAGACCGGTTTTTTCCCCCGTATCCACTGCATGATTACATGAGGCCACTTGATAATCAGCCTGTTAAAAAATCCTTCTTGCGTCTGATCAAATTCGTTTTGCTTGCTAAAACTTTTCACCCAAATTTCTTCGTCGTCTCTTAAAGTAAGAATGACTTTCGCATCCGGAAAAGCTTCGTAGATTTCTTGAAACCAAAACGCAGGAGGCAAATCGGCCACCGCGTCGATATCTTTGTACATTGCTGCAAAATCCGGGGATTTTCCTTTGAAATAAACAGCGAACCATTGATCAAGATGAAATTTCCTGTGTTCTGCAGAATCAAACACTGTAAAGCCAAGGATTCTTAAAGCTTTAGCCAGGGATGTTTTTCCTGTCTTGCACAAGCCTGCACAAATAACCTTCATTTCGCACCTCAATAATCAGCCCACAAAGGGATAACGCTAATATCTTGTCCTGAAAATAAACTTTTATTCTGATATCCTTCTGACTAAAATAAAATACAGATACACATCGTCTCCGCTGACAGTACATATCGTACTTGCTGACAGTCGCAGCCAGAATTTTTCTCAGGGATCGTAGAGCGCGCGAGCGTGAAAATCGCCTTTCCTCCGGCTCGCAGCGACCCTCACGCGCGCTCGAGTACATTTCGTTTTTTTCTGTAACGTTTAGTCTAGGACGGACTTGGGGACCGTTTCTCCGAAGTGCCGGTAACTTTTCGGGCCCGAAATGAAATATTCAAATCGAAATATAAAGAATAAGGGCACGGGTCCTGGCTAGCAAAATACTCCACTTTGTTTCACTTTGTTTCATCATGTTTTACAGCTTTACCGGACCGTTAATTATCGAGACTTTCAAGAAACGGGCCCCTGGACCCTGATTAAAGCATATAACCCTATTCGAGGAATTCGCGTGCATTCATGTAGAAGAACAAAAGCCAGTACCAGAAAGATGCTCAATTTTGCGCCTACGATAGACAACTTTAAAAATTTTCAATGGACACGAAAGTCGGAGGTTTTATAGAACACTGATCGATTGTATCAGTGGAATTTTTTAAAGAAAATCTATCGACGATTTTTGGTTTAATCGCTGTTTTCGAGAAATTAGCCTTTGAAATTACAAATAGGGTTGAGCATTGCGTTTTACAGTGATTCTCATGCCTTTCGTGCTTTTCGAAATGGCGCAACTAGTCTACTTGCGTTTAGCCGTATGAAGGTCATTTACAAAACCAATGAGTGATAAAAACGCTTTGGAAACATGCAAAAAGTAGCAAATTTTTCTGCATTAAGTCCAGTCTTCAGTTCATGCATAATTTACGTCCTTTTTGTAGAAATTCCAAGATATCTTAAAATTCCTCTTATAGAATTTTGTGAACCTTCGCACAACAGCCGACAAGCACCCGAAGTATACCGGTAGGTAGCGTTCGTCATTTCTAAAGAAAATGAGATTTAGAGCTAAAGTTATTGTGATGTCATTGACACGTGATATTTATTCCGATCGCCCAAAAAATAATATCATAATAACGTTAAAGTCTATGTGTAATACATTTCTTATAATGGTTTTACAATAAAGATAAATTTGTTTAAGTCGGAGAGATTCAATGATGCAAGGTGTAGCTACAAAAATACTGGGTCGCACCACCTAAATGACCCTAAGTACCCCAACCCCCCCCCCCCCCCCCCCCCCCCCCCCTTTTTTTTT